TAATTGCCGTTCTATGTCTTTTTCACTTTTGGTGGGTATCCTACTTGTGTAGGCATTTCTTATGTTTGGACCTATTTATTTAACTATACTTGCCCTTCCTGTGGCCAGGCCATATTCCTGTTCAGTGTTAATATTTTTTTAAAGATTTTTATTTATTTATTGAGAGAGATAGTGATAGAGAGAGAACATGAGAGGGGGAGAGTCAGAGGGAGAAGCAGACTCCCCGCTGAGCAGGGAGCCCGATGTGGGACTCGATCCCGGCACTCCAGGATCATGACCTGAGCCAAAGGCAGTCGCTTAAACAACTGAGCCACCCAGGCACCCCCAGTGTTAATATTTTATATAATAGCACTGCTGTTCTGATATCCCTGAGTACATCTTTATACGTCCTATTTTTACTGTCTGCAATAGAGATTCTTACAACAGTGTGTGTTGTTGAAACAGATTCTCTTATTAATGGAATTTATTGTCACAATGTATATTTGTAGCAGCGAAAGGGCACAGAGTGAGGCCTGGAGGTAGGACAGGACTTGGCAGATAATGACTTAAAAGATAAATGGTCTGTTTTTTTTTTAAGATTTTATTTTTTAAGTAATCTCTACACCCAATTCGAGGCTCAAACTCACAACCCTGAGATCAAGAGTTGCACATTCCAGGGACTGAGCCAGCCAGATGCCCCATTAAATGATCTATTTTTTTTTTTGAAGATGCTAATAATGCTTGGAAAGAAACACAATAATAATTGAAAATAGTCTATCCATCAGGGTTAAAAAATTCAAGCCGTAGTGAAAGCCACGGAGATTTGAGTCATCCAAACGACATGTTTGAGTATTTCTGGCTTTCAAAAAGAAAGGCATGCATAAGCCTGATCTGCACATGGGTGACTTAGTGCAACTACCGTAGAAAGAAAGGACATGGTTTTGAGCTGCTCTGTGTTTAGGTATCCGGATTTGATGTCAGGTGGATGTGGACCAGATGTGGCCAAGTCTCTGGTGCTTCCCTGCTTGGGTTTTTCTGCAGTTCCTTCTGTAACCCTTTTGTTTTCTTCTAGAGATGGGGGCGTGGCAATGCTGAGTGCACAGAAGGAAAATGGAAAAGTCAAACTGTAAAGCGCCTGTGACTGAGACGGCTTTCCTGTGAGATCTGTAACACTGTGGACAGCATTACCCTGGGGACTGCCTCACTTGTCTGCCATTTGGAGAAGACAGCCTGGGAGGGGCGCCCTGAGGAGAGCAGGCCTTCTTCTAGCTCTGCTCCTGCTCTGAACCCAAGGATAACAGAGCGTGTGAGATTGAAAATATTATGAATCAACTCATTGATTTTGATGTGTATATCTAAAGATGTGAATGTAAAACGTGCAAAAGAAGTGAAAATCATCCCTGATTCAGTCAACAGATTTTAATGGGGCCCCACTGTGTTTCAGTAACAGTGTTCATGGAATGAGGTCTTCAACACGTGTGATTGTTTTTTTTTCTAGAAAAACAAAATTTGCCTTTTTGCATCACACATTATTTATTTTACTCATTTTAAATGAAAACGTAGTTGGAAGTATATTGCATATTTTCAAGATTTCTAAAGTAGACTCTAGAATATAATTAGATCCTATCTCAATGACTCACCACTCACAGTAGCGCCATCTGGCCAGTCTTTAGGCTTTGAGTACAACACACCTCTCCCATCTAATGAGCTACCTCTGACTACACAGCACATTTGCTGTGATCTAAGAAATCAGATAACCCTGATTATTAGAGCTATTTAAAGTAAGAGTCAACACGGCTTGAGTGACTGCGGGAGAGCTTCTCTTAGAAAGTAAAGTAATTGAGTTTTAATGAATAAGCTTTACAACTGCTCTTTCAGCTCCTGGATGGCTCTGGGTCAAGGTTCTCAAGGTTCCTGGTGAGGTTAAGTCTGACCTTGAACTGTGAAATATTTTTGTACTTAAAATTTAATATTTATGCAGTATATATTTAAAACAAATTACATATTATATATATTTTTTGCATTTTATAAATGTAAAAGTTTGACATCTTATGTATTAGAATATGTTTTTATATGGACTAATTTTTCCCTCAAGGGGATAAAATCAGTCCAGCATCATAACCTTACTTATCTACAGAACTTTCTATATATTTCTGTATTGTAACCACATTACTAGCACAATATGAAGGTGGAAGTGCCTTTATAATATGCTTGGAAATTCCAGCAACATATTCTGATTCCTAAATCATTATGCTTATGAAAATGTTTACATAAGAATACTGCAGCTCAAAGCTAAAATCCATGCAGAAAACCTTTTTTAAAATTCAGCCTTATAAATTGGTTTTTAACATCTAGGTCTGGAGTTCAACCTATTTATTCTGGTCAATTGGTCTTTGAAGTCTAAAGGAACCCCTCTTTCTACTGGTAACAATTCTGTGAGGTGTCATTATAGGATGGGAGCCAGAGAGGCAAGCTGGTTGACCTTTTCCCTCATTCAGTGCTTTCTGCTGATGACGAAGACTAAGGGTGACTGACTGACCCTGCTTCATAACAGTGACTCCCCCAAAAGCCCCTTCATAATAATTGAAATATTTACTTTTCTAGTATTTCCAGAAAAATGTATTTTTAAATTATTTATTTTTTTAAAGATTTATTTGAGAGAGAGAGAGAGCACCCACAGGAGGGTAGGGGGGAAGAGAGAGAGGGAGAATCCTAAGCAGACTCCCCTCTGAACGTGGAGCCTGACCTGGGCTCCCTCCCACAACCCTGAGATCACAACCCGAGCCAAAATCACAAGTTGGACACCCAACCAATGAGCCACATGGCGCCCCCAGAAAAATGTATTTCTCACACTATGCTCTTAATTTTGTAGTTTTATCACTTTTCAACTACCTTATTTTTTCATCGTCTAATTATTGTCAGGATGTACCTAGAGGCATCAAACCTTAGCTAGCATTGGCCTGATGACTTTTGATATATAGACATATACTGATACATATTGATACGTATATTGCTGTGCTGATATATTTGGAAAACCTCTTCAGGTACCTTTACAAGTAAGTTTTGTGCCCCTAAAGGAAATGTAATTAATCCTGAAGTGATTTCCCTCTCTTCTAGATGACAAGAACAGAGACGGTTGCTTCTTCCTCCCTTCCCAACCCAGTCCATGCAAATCTAGAATCTGAGTCTATGAGTGTGCCAGCATAGCAACCCTTACTCAAATCTTTGGCCCATCTTCCAAACCAGATTCCTCCCTTAAGCCCTATTATATAGAGATTCTGGAGCCATCACTGAACAGAGAGATGGAAGAAAAGGAGGAAAGAAAATCGATGCTTTAACAACCCGCCTATCAATATGTGAAGGTGTGGGAATGTGTTCGTGACATCTGGAAAGGCTCTGAAGGGGTTACCTGATTACCCAGAGGGCTTGATTGTGCAGGCTCTGACCTTTGCACAACTCACCACTAACTATAACCTCCATGTGGCCCCTCCATCTGCACATTGGGGGTTGTCATATGATTTGCCTCATGAGGTTGCTGTGAGAACAGTGTATGGAGGAGGCTTGGCCAATGACTTGTACCTACATATATGTGGATGCTAGATTAACCATTTATTTATGACTTCATAACCTTGCCACATTTTGGGGGCAGTAACAAGACAGACACTGTATTTTTCATTCATTTGATACATACCTGCTTCTTCTTTTTTCTGAAATCCCAGTTGAATTACTGTGGGGGCCTTATGTCACAAGGGTGATTAGCCCACTCAGGGGTGTGGGGTGGGTACAGAGCCACCTAAAGTCCCAGGGCAGCATGCATTGGAAGAAGGATGAGCCTGGTGTGTTAGGGAGTCCTAGTAGGAAGCAAGGCTTGCTTCAGGGATGCTTCCTGTAGGTTGCTTGAGGACTGCCTATTGCCTCCAGGACCACTACCCTGTGCCCACATAAAGTCTGATGCCTGGAAACCTCCCATTATGGGGGCTTTGAGCCTTCTGCTGGTCAGGTAGTGGAAGGAGCACTGCACCAGGAGTCCTAGGACTGGTTTCTAGCTCTGGTTCTTCTATGGCTCAGCCAGGGGGACTCTGCAAGTTGCATCTGTAAATGGAGAGATGACCTCTTTCAGCTGATTCCTCCTGAGTCTCCTCCATTGTACTGAGAATTGGGGAACATAATGCCCCCAAAATCCCTCTCCCCAGAGAAGTGCTGGAACACTTAAATATAAAATGCACCTCTGGTCCCAGAGGGTGTGTGCGTGTGCGTGTGCGTGTGCGTGAGGGTCTTTCATTACTCAATAGCCCACTTGCTGACTTCCATCCTTGTCCCCCTTCCCCTCCCAGGCCTCTCAGTGGCCATCAGAATCACTTCTCCACAGTGGTGGAGTCTCAGAGCCAAAGGGTTTCTGACTTTCGCTGTCAATAAAGGTTCTCTAGTGAAGATGTTATAACTGACCGGGGCCGCAAAGACACCGACTACAGTATTAATGCTCCGAAGTCCAATTTACAAAGTTTTGGTAAGTCAGCCGGCCCAGGGAGGGGAGGGCAGCCCAGTGATGGCAAGGGAAACAGAGGGAGGGGCGTGGGCAACTCTGTCCAGAAAGAGGGAGGACCACAAACTTGTCGAAGGACACCTGACCGCCGTTCCCCTGGGGTACCGGCCGCGCCTCAGTGGCCGGGTCCCTTCCCTCAACTTCTCCAGACCTCAGTGCCAGTCACCTGCAGGGGACCCCCGGTGTCCGGCGTGCCCCCTGCAGAGAGGGGCCAGGCTCCCGCCAGGGCGCCCCTCTCGACGGGGCGGAGGGTCGCACTGCAGAGGGACGGCGAGGGAAGCGGGTGGGCGCAGCCAAGCGCGACCCCCGCCGGGCGGCTGCAGCGCGGGCTCACGGCCCGCGGGCTTCCACCCCGCGGCGGGGCGCTGGGGCTTGGCGGAGGTTCAGCCCGCCCGCCGCTGCAGCCGCCGCCGCCGCCGCCGCCACCGCCGCCGCTCCCCGCCCCCCGGGTCCCTGGAGGCTCCGCGGCTGCCGGAGCGGGAGGTGGAGCCGAGCCCGCGGCAGCCGCGCAGGAGGGAAAGTTCGGCGGCGGCGGGAGCAGCGGGGGCCGGCCGGGCAGCCCGGAGGGCGCCTCAGGGTGAGTCGGGTCCCCTGCTGGGGCCGCCGGGTGTGGCGCGCCGCGCGGAGGCGTCGGTGCGGCTCGCGGGTCCGCGCAGCTCCGCGCGGCTTTCTCGCGCTGCCCAGCCCGCGACCCCGGGGCGGCTGGTGCCGCGGGGGAGACTGTGCCGCGCCCCGCCTCCCGCCGTCCGCCGTCCGCGGGGGTGCGGGGGGTGGGGGTGGGGGGCTGCGGGCGCCGGCGGGGGAGAGGGCTTGGCGCGGCGGCGGGGGCTGGGGCCAGGGCGGCTCGGCCCGGCGGAGGGCGCGGCGCCTTCAGGTGGACGCGCGAGGACGAGAAACTGGCCGCCAGGAAGGGTCGGCGGCCGCTGCGCGCCGGCGGTCACTTCGGCTTTGCCACCCTTTCTCCTGGCCTTTGACTGTTTAATTGCTTTCTCCAACACGTACTGAAAAAGTAGCCTCACACGTGCCCGCGGGACTACTTTGCTGGCATTGGTGTATTATTTTTGCTGGGCTGGAGAGGGTGGAGGGGGCGTGCCGAGTGCTCGCCTGCCTTGGAGCGGGGCCGGGGGGATTGTGTCCGAGGGTCAGCGCGGTCCGCGGGGCGCCCTCCGAGCAAGAGTTTTGTGCTGTCAGTGGAGAGAAGCCTTTCTTTCGAGGGCATGCTCTGGGGGTGAGGGTTTTGAAGCGCCGGGAGGAGGAGGAAAGCTGTACAAAGAGAAGGCGAAGTTGTTTCCGCGACACTTCCTGCACCTGCACTACCGTCAGTGATTTTGAAGTTATCTTTCCATCGACGTGCGGAGAAAGAGCGATGGGAGAGGAAGAGATTTTTAACAGCACTGTACATGCCCGAACAGTGAGGCTTGGGAAACACGAATAAATGAGAGACTGGCTCCTTGGAGTAGTTTTTACTTAAATGTCGTTAGATAGGTCTAGATGATATAATTAACTGCTCTCACATCTTTTTACTAGAAATTTAAATTTAATTCTACCGGATTTCTTGGATTTTGTTAACATTGTTCATACGAGGCAGTCATAATTCTTGTAGTATTACTTGCACCGTGAGCGTTAATAAGACCTGGGCAGTGCTGTCATGTTGCTAATTGGAAGGAGAAAAGTCTTTCAAACTTGGAAATAGAAGCATATAGGAAAAAAAACAAAGCCTTAGTCATAAATAGTGCCTCGAACACATGTAATAGTGCTTAATTCGCTGTGTTCCCAGAGAATGTCAGTTCCTGGAAAGCAAGAGATGGGCCATACCTAAATATTTAATAATTCCTCTGCATTGAATTACCATACTATATGTTCTCTAAATTATACAGTATTGAAAGGCTTTAATTCTGTTCATCTTTGTGTTCCAAATCTCGTATGTCTGCTGGCAAGCTGTATTAATGGGGTTCAAAGGAAAATCTCAAACTTTGGGATTCACCAGTTTACAGTGAAGCAAACGTTTGCTTTGCCATCCCAGGTACTTGGGCTCCAAGCGGCCTCTCCAGTTTATCAAATGTATAACCTTGGGCAAGTCACTTACCCTTTCCCAGACATAGTCTCCTATTTCGTAAAATGCCAATAATATTCCTCACCTTATGGAGGTATTAGGCAGAATGAAATAACATTTAGGAACTTATCCTAGTGCTTGGAGCACGCTAAGTACTTCGTAAATGTTGTCTCTTGCCTTTGTCTTCCTTTATTTTCAGGAATCCTCAACTCTGGAATGTTTCAACATTTTTTTTTTAATTTAAAAATCCTGTGCCATTTTATTTTCCACTCGTTCATTCATTCAACCTCATTTTGTTGATGAACCTCAGATGCTGCCCTGTATATACTGAAAGTGAGGAGCTGACCCTTCGACGGTGGGGGTGGGCAATACTTCAGGTTTTTCCTGTTGGTAATAATCCATCACAAAGTCATAAGATGGTGAATCGTACTTCCCAGTTTCCCTATCTCTGTCCTTAACTAATATGATTACGTTGAAAAGAAATAACAGGAGGCTCTATGAGGGTGCTCATCTCTCCTCTTTACCCTGCCTCCATGCCCAGCTCAGTGCCTAGCAGCATGTAAGGGCTTCATAAGTATTCGTTGATTTAAATGGAGAATGTAATGAAATTATTCTTCAGGTCCCATCCTTTATATATATATAAATTCCTGATGAAAGGACCTTGGGATTCCAAATGATGGCCCTACTATAGATTAGGGCTAATAGAGGTTATTAAAGAAGCAAAGCTCAGGTAGACTTTATTACCTATTGATTTTGCCCTCATGATAAAGCAGTCTTAGAAAATGTATAAAGCCAAGTTGGAGCAGCAGCTTCACCACTAGGGGCCTCCTCTGCATAGTGTATCACCCTGGACTGGCATTTATGGCCATTATGCCATCCTTTAAGGTAGCAAAGGAATTAAACTTCCTCGGTCCTTGACATGGAATACTTTATTACAAAAGGGCAACCCTGTGTGAAAAGCATTACCAAAGGCCTAAAAATAAATGAAAGCCATCTTAAATGATGGATTCGGTACCGTTTTAGAATCACTTCAGAGGTTTAAAGGAGATTTAAGGATGGGCTTTTTAATTTGCACATCCTTATATTCAAATATATGATTTTTTAAAAAACTAATAAGGCAAATATATGATTTTGTTATAGTATCTTCAGGTTTTTAGGTATGTCTTTGGTGAAGCTTATTTTTTATGTTTTAACGTGTTTAAAATTGCTTTATTTCCTAAATAGGTATTTGTACCACTAACAATAATACAAGTTGTTTCTCAAGGAATGTTATCCTGGTAGCAGAAGCTTCTGGTGTCCCTCCCTCCCTCCCTCCCTCTCTCTCTCTCTTTCTCTTTCTTTTAAAAGAGGGCCACGTTAAATTCCAGCTTTAAGAAATATGTGTCATTGCATTCCAAGATGTGTCACTGAAAGGCACTTTTCTTCTGTGAGTTTTTTTAAAAGAGCTCTTATTTCAAAATTCTAATTTTAATGAAGTTAGTCATTGGGACTCTTGAACAACTCAAAGGTGTGTTGGTGTTTTTGTCAGATGTAATTTGCTATTTGGTGGAAAGATTACTGACAATATATGTAAGCACACATTATTACTGAAAATATTGCCATATTGTTTACAAATGAATAAGAGAAAATTCCAGGTTTTCTGTGAAATTTAGTTATAGTGGCAAACTAAACACCATCAGTCTTTAAAGTAAAATTAACAACAGAAAAGAGTTCAGAGCATTGCATTGTAGGCCCAAATTCTTATCAAGGGATTTTTTTCTCCTGGCAGAATGCCTCTGAGTTCAAAAAATGATCAGGCATCCAATTCTGATTTTTACATGGTGGGATTTTAAAACACGGCAATCTGTTTTTCACTGTTTTTCTTCCACGGTCTAGATTTGGACTCTTTAGGGAACTGAGTAAGAGGAATAACTTTTGTGTAAAGGTCAGAGATAATTTTTGTTATGACTTTTCTTTGATTAAGTGAAAGATGTTTGGATTATTTTTAGGATTCTGAGCATATAAAAAAGTTAAAACAGATCCTGTCTGCATAAACTGATGCTTCTCCGGAACTGGAAGAGTATTGTTTTCACCCTCATACATCCAGCCTGTAAGGGTGTGGTGTCCCCCTGTCTCTCCTTCTCGGGCTCATGCTAGGTCTAAGCCACCATGAGAGGTATAGAGCTATGTCCAGGATGAGGGGTTTTAGTTTGGGCAAGAGCCCCTGAGCTGACCGAGATTATAGATGCTTAAGGTGGCAGGAAATGAATGTCTTTATACCTGGGAGTCATTTTTAGGAAACTCCGTTGGGGAGGTGCCTCCTGGAGGGACAGAAATGGTAACTGTTTGCTAGAGTTTGCAGTGGAGTGTTTGGAACCTATCACTTAGTGAAACATTACCTTGCCACACAGATAATTTTTGTTGTTGTTTTTAGACGATGCAAAATGTAACATTTGGATATCCGGGGGTCAAGGATGATACTTCGTTTCATTATCACACAGACAGGTGTTTGAGTTGATGTAGGAAGAGGGAAGCAGGAGGCAGTGAGGAGGTGGATGGGAATTGTCTATTTCTACCCAACACCAGGGCCTGCCTTATTTTCATGTTCCCATGTGGCACATGGCTGTGCAGCTTAATAATACGTGTTGTTCGCTGGTGACTTGGGGTTTACTCATCTACTCTGTTAATGCAATTACTGAAATGATGGTCTTCGACTTGGGTCCTGGGTACTCTCAAAAGTAACTTTCTACTTCTGTCTCCCATTTGTTAGAAATTTGCCAAATTTAATGCATCAGTTAATGCATGTAAACAGAGCTGCTGCCAGCCCACGGGGTGCCCCTTTGTGGTGGACCACCCCATGCCAGGGTACATGGCACGGTAAACTGAGAGTGGACTGGACTTCAGCCCCACTCACCTCCTGCTGGGCGCTCTTGTGTGGCATCAGCTACGCAACTGTGTGTGATGCTCTTGTCTGGGAAAGTGGTTAGAACAGTGCCTGGCACATAGTAAATATCACTGTTGGTTGTTATTGTTACTATTTTTGTATTACTGATGGTATTGCTTTCAGGGTAGATCATTTTTACCACAATAATCTGGAACAGATGATTCAGGTGAATTTAGTGCTTGTAATAACATTTGCGAAGGTGATTAATTTCAGTTTTCTTGTCGCACTTCCATTATAGTTCTCCTCAGGTGATAAAAATGCTAACACTCAGGGCCACTTACCCACATAGCAGCTGCTCTGCTAAGTGTGGGCCGTGAGTCATTCAGTGAATCAGCACAACTACCTCAGGAAGCATGCGCTATTAGTATTTGCAGTTTACAGATGAGAAGACTAAGGTTTAGAGGGTGTCTTACTTGCCCCGGGTCAGTTTGTGGGTTCTGTGCCTGAGCCTTGAGTTCCCATCTGCCATGCCTGGCTCTATGACTTGAGCTCATAACCTCTGTGCCATCTTTGAGGATGCGGAGAAAGGGGCGCCCTCTTGCCCTGTTGGTGGGAATGCAAACTGGTGCAGCCACTCTGGGAAACAGTATGGAGGTTCCTC